GTTTTGTTATGGAATTACTGACAAATGTTTGTACAACAAGACTAGTGTAATTAATATGAAATTAAAACCCACAGAACCTACTTATATTCATATTAACATTTTAAAATTTATCCCTTCCTACTACATCGATCTCCACAATTCATCACTAGCTGCAAATTGGTAACATACGGCGTCTACGCGAACGCGTGAAATTAGTCGAAGCACAAAACAATAGCAGATACTCGCAGAAGGGAGAGAGTGAGAAAGAAAAAATTGTGTGGTGTAATTGGTAACAAGACATAACAGCAACTATTGTTGTAATATAATTGTGGCGGCAACAGGTAACGGACTATGGAAAACAACAACGTCACAGCTGCTGTCACTTCCCAATCGACGACGCCCGGCCCAACAAAATGCCCAAAATTTCAACTCAATCCAATCCAAGGCACAATTTTTTCTTTTATTGCACAACTGGCATTTTTGCATATTGCCAAATAGCAAAATGGCTTAAATGTCTTGTGCGCTGCTTTAGTTTTGTGGCACAGAAATTGGTGCGCCTTAATCGGACTAGAGCAGCAGCTAACAGAAAAAAGGCCAAAATTGTTGCAACAAAAAGTCATTTAAACTTTGGCCAGGCAGGCAGGCACAAACGCAAAACCATTTTGTCAGAAGTTTCGAATCGTGGCTTGTCGGCGACGTGCCGCTCCTAGCATAGAGCATGATTGTTTCTTTTTTTTACACCTACGCCTACACATACACACACAGTTGTAGTACACATGCAGCTAGTATCTTAAAGACAAGTTTAAACAGGTTCTTTATATCGAAAAGGTCGCTGCTCGTTAGATATGGCAACTAAAAATGTGAAAGGTTTAAACTTTGCGCCTTATACGCTTTATGCTCTGACTTAAGCTCCGGCTTAGATTAGCCAGCTGGCTGAAAGGTGTTGGTAACAACTGTGCCACAATATGTTTGCAACAAGCGAGCTAGACTGGTTCTTTTTTTTATACATTGCGAGCAAACTAACAGTAAATAGTTACTTACTCGTATGTAATAGAACAACCACGTGGCGTATGATTAATATTTATACACAAATCGAACAATATTTGCAATAAATGTGTAACACAATAGCTGAGTAAGTTATACTTGCTTCGTGGCATAGAAGTAAGCCTAAATTTGATTGAAAATGTAATACAGTATCTTTATAAACAAACAAGTCATTCGTGCAAATTATTACTATTATTTACGATCATTAAATACTCGTAATTAAATTAGTAAGCCGAGAAAAAAGGTACAGTTTAGCTAGCCCCTTAAGAGTTTCCTGGAGATACTTTATGAATAAAAGTTAAAGAAAGAACAGGTATATAACTGCATTTATTAAGGTGGGAGCTTGAGATGAATTAAAATAATTGGATAAAATATAGCTCAGAAATGTGTTTTTCAAAGTATATATTTTAATGATCAATTCGTAGACCTTCCGAAAAACTAAAACTAATCTAACCATGTTCGTATGTATTTATATCACACAAAAAAAAACAAGCTACAAAGCAAGTGCATTACGCAAGCGCATAAAAATTTTAATTTATTTAATTGCAAACAAACAAATTAAGAAGAAAAAATAAAAGGTAAATTACAAATCAAGTGTCAGCGCGGCTCAGACAACGATTGCAATTTGCACGACGCTTGGTCAAGAGCAAAACGCGTCAAGCGCTTTGGCAGCCAACGCTGAATGGCTGTTGGCCATTTTCTTGGCTTCGTGCCCAGCTGGCTCTTGGCTGTTGGCTGTTGGTTGCTGGCAGTTGGCAAACGTGTCACAATTCCAACAGCCCATTCAGTCAAACTTCGAACGCATTGCAAAAATTTTTGCCGTGCGCATGATTTGATGTGTGGAGTGGAGTGAGAAAAGTAAAACGGAAGTAGGCTTTGGGCCAAGTGGAGCACCTGCCCACTCTCAAGTGTTGACAACAAACTGGGCGGCACTTGATTGGATCATTCTTTTGATATCTAGTGCTTAAGACTTTCTAAATAAAACTTCTCAAGTGCCTAAAATGAATTTATACATATACTCGTATATTATATTATGGGATGCTTGCCCAACGTTTCTGTGATAAAGTGCAATTATTACTGCTCCCTGCCTCTATCCATACTATCCATTCATCCATCCATCCATCAGTTTGTCTGTCGCGTCTCACAACAAATTTTCAAGTGCCTTGCCGACCATTTTCAACTTTGACAAAGTGCTTGGCTTCGTGGCCAAATGTCAGACCGCCTTTATTTTTTATCTCTCCCCCAACTCTCTTCTTCTTTTTCTTTATAATATTTTTCACTGTTCGCCGCTTTGAGATATCGTGCTTAATTGCTTTGCAAATTTTGTTAAATGAACAAAAGCTTCATTTCATTTGTTTTTTTCGCTCTGTCGTTGTTGTTGTTGTTGTTGTTCTTGTTGTTGCTGCTGCTTCTGACCTAATGCAGCTCATTTGAATGTTTTATGGACGTTTTATTCACTTTAAATGAGCGGCAATGTCAGAGTTCAAAGCGCCGTGTATTTAACACGCACAAATATTCATGAACTCTTTGACTGTGTGACGGCGACCATAGTTTGAAAAGTTGCTTTGCCTTTGACATTAGTTTACTTTCTTTTTCGTTGAGCGGAAGATCTGCCGTTATGGCAGGTCTTGAGCAAATTACAATAATAAAAGCGCGCCCATCATCAGGCGGAAAAAAAAAACAACCGAGAATCGAAAATAATCGAAATTGGTCGATGGTGGGGTGAAGGAAGGGCAGGCGGCAATGCACACCTAGGCTAGCCATCCGTCATTGCAACGTCAACAAAAGTGGTAGAAAGCTGCAACTGAAATGCAACTTTTGGTGGCGACTACCAAAACAAAAATTAACAGCAACAATAGTGCATACGTATAATAAAAGTAAAATGTGAAAAATGAAAAAGTGAACGAAAGCAAAGATATGAAAAATGTGCAGACGAAATGTGGAGAATTTTTACCAGTCAATTATATTTATATGCGCCGGCATACATACATACATATGTATGTACGAGTATAAGGTAATGTGAAATTTCTTTAGAGTGAGCCAAGCACACACACAGATACACACACGCACACACTAGGAGTGTGTAGAGAGATGGACGTGAAGCCACTTACACACACACTTATAAATATGCATTCATATTTCAAATCATTTCCGCCGTGCCCAAACCACAAACACATTTCATGAATTCTACAGTGAAATTTGCCTAAGAACCATTCTATTTTCAGTGAAAATGCAACACTACTTAGGCAGTGAAATAAAAATATATTATAACAAATAAAATATTGCTCATATAACACAAAAAATTAAATAAAATAAAATATTGCAGCGCGTTTACATCACAAGCTTCCCTGACATTTCTTAATCACTATAGACGAAATGTTTGCATTCCCTGCAAAAACGACTCAATTCAAACCTATTTTTTCCCTTTGTTTCTACGTCCAATTACAAATGTTTAAAACCTATTTCCCTAGAATGAAAATGTTGATTTGTTGGATAAGACAAAATTGGGTCAGCTATATTAACCTTTTAGAATCATATATTCTTCTAATCGAACAACTAAATTATTTTACTATAAAATATGTTAAATTAATAACTATGAATAAAAATAAACTGGAGACAAATAGATTAGAAATAGGTATTGTAGAATAATGTGGTACTATTATTGAACGTGTATTAGAGTGGCTTTAGATTGAAATTAATAATGAATCAATGGAAGAGATCTTACAGAAGAGACATAAATGGAACATGAGAGAACGCTACAGTCGAGCAAGCCCGACAGTGTAATACCCTGTACCCAGGTAAACTTCCGTCACTGAGTTATATGCGCCCAAAGCAGCAGCAAAAAGAGAAAGAAGAAGAGCGAACTTTTTGCTGCAGTTTGTGGGGGTTCTACTGGCGAGAATTTGTTTCGCTAATAACTTTTCTTAGAATTGACAGAATTGAATAAAATTTTAAACAACAGAAGATAATTTATAAATTATGTGTGCAAAGTTTGGTTTAGGTAGCATTTAAAATGTAGACGCTATTGACGAAATTCTGCAGCGGGGGAAGGGGGGGAAAATTAAAAAAATAAAATAAACTCGTCCTTACTCGGATCTAGGAGAATCTGGATGCCAACTTTGGTTATTCTAGCTTTTATAGTTTCTGAGATCCTCGCGTTCATCCAGACGGACAGACGGACGGACAGACGGACAGACGGACGGACATGTCTAGATCGATTTCTCTCGTCATGCTGATCAAGAATATATATACTTTATGGGGTCGGAGATGCTTCCTTCTGTATGTTACATACTTTGCACAAACCTAATATACCCTTTTTACCCTATGGGTACAGGGTATAAAAATTAAGTGCTTATATAATTACTTCGTAAGCAAAAATCTAGCTGAAGTATTAACCTCACTTTTGGTAACAAGAATGTAGTAGAAATAAACTTTGCCTACGATTGGCCAACATTATCCATTAGTGACTTGTCCAAAACTCAGAGAGCGCCCTGGTAGTTAAGTGAAAATGTTTTATCCGAGTTACTTAGAGGGATTAGAAGTCATGATGTAGAAAGCTATCTAGCAAGTGCAAGATAGATAGATAATGCCGGGCGTGCTATTGTATTTGCCCCATTTCAATTCTTTTTATTATTTATTCATTTACAAAATGTGTTGCTTCATTTTTTGCTTCAATTATGAGATCCCTAGTTCACAGGAATCATAAACCTTATTACTATTCCTTTACTTCCAAACGTAAGTGTTCTAGAATAAAAGTGAATGCTTCAATTGTGTGATTTAAATTCTGGCATCACACTTTCTCAACACTTTCAATAGATTTATTTCCCTTAAGTGTTTTTCACTGTTCACTGTTTTCACTTTAATAGTAGACAGTAGCAGAATTTCAGTGGCTTTATGGCCACATTTCTCATGCAAATAACGTGCCCAAAAGTCGCTTTAAGTTAGCATAGCTTAAGTCTTAAGGCCAATCAACTTACCATTTCCTTTCTCAGCGTCGCTAGCTGCGCATCCAAGGTGCTGCCGTTGGTGGCAAGAGGCGCTGGCGATGTTGCTGCTGTTGTTGCAGCTTTTACAGGTGAGCTGTTAGCTGATGTTGTTGTCGCTCCTGTTGTTGTTGTGTTTGCTGCTGTTATTGTTGCTGTTGCTATTGCTGTTGTCGGTGCTACTGCCGATGTTGTGTTTTCGCTTTCATTTGCATTGGACGCTGTTGCTTTTAACGCCAGAGCCGCTGATTTATCGTTTACATTATCGTCGCTATCTTTAGCGGGGAGCTGCTGATTGTTGCTGTTGTTGTTATCACTATCTTTTTGGATTGCTAGTTTGTTGCCGCTACTGCTGTCGTTCTCCTTATTGTTGTTGCTGTTATTGTTATGTTCAAGCTGTGCATCCACATCGCTCAAGAGGCCAGAATCGGAGCCAAGCAATTTATTAAAACCGCTGAGACTTTTGGGCAATGGAGGCAGGCCGCTGATGGACATAACGCTGTAAGATAAAACATAGGATCGATATAAGTCAATGGATATTAAAATAACGGTACCCCTATGTGCATATAATTGAGATCTACTTAGTTAAGAGTCGATATACCCATCAACTGTACCTGCGTTTGGGACCCAGATAGCCATAGCCTCGCCAATAACCAATAACGTTCCCATCACTACCATAACTATCATCGTCTTCCTCATCCTCCTCATCGCTATCATCGCAATCATTCTGTATGACAAGCGGCAACTGATCTAAGCCCACTTCGTGCTCATGATTATCATCGTAATCACTGCAGGTGGTGGGCGTGCGACCGCACCAAGCCGCCTGATCAGGATCCCCATCAATTTCAGCGTCTTCGATGGTGAAGATGCCATCTTGAAAGCGCTGATACCATTGGGAAACATACTGAGCACTTGGGGCAAATGGCCCGAAGGCGCTGCGACACTCCTCGAGTATTTGGCCGGGATAGAGACGCCGTCGAAACCCAAACAGTATGCACTGCTGAAGTTCGCGGGCCGTGGGCGCGGGTATGGGCGAGAGAAAGAGTTCATCCAGATCTTCGGACATTATGTGTGTTTTGAATGTGCGTTTAAAACGGCTGATTACATTAGCTGAAAATTTGACATTGGTAAGAGAGCATTTTTCACACATTTTCCATACGGAATTCTTAAAATTTTTGAACAGATTTTGAGAACAATATAAAAGGCAATGCAAAAACAAACACATACGAGTACATAACACAGGAAAAAACAAACAGCAAAGCAGAGATGAGCAGAACAAAGCACAGGCATCCAAATTAGACCAGATCGGGGAGCTTTGGATATTGGGTTGGTTAGCAAACTGTCAACAAGAATTTGTTGGATGTTGCGACGCTTTTCTCACGCAAAGAAACTGGCTGGATTGTTCGTGTAGTTAGTCTTGTGGCTGTTGTTGTTGCGCCACGGGCATAAATTCAAACGATAAGCTGACAACAATGACATTTCAATCTTGGCTATTAGCCGCACACGCACACATGCTTGCACATGGATAGAAAAAATGTGTATATAAATGTATAAGTTGTATGTATGTACAGTCTAAGCAACTCACTAGAAACCAAACCAGTAACGAAGGCCAGCAGCCATGACTGTGTCTGATCTCAAAGATGTGGAAGTATATACATATCTGTGTGAACCATGGGCCCTCACTTAAATGCTACAAATTGAAATAACTTCAAGAAAATTGGTTCTACAATATGTTTTTTGTGATTAAAAGTCTTCTTTACACTAGAATCGGAACTTTTTTAAAAATAAATTTAGACATAAAAAAATTTTTACTAATTCTCTTAATTTGAAATATACTTTTGACTGATTTCTAACAAAACTATTAAATATTATCTTATCTGTCAAGCAAGCTTTGAAGCAACAGTATAGCATTAGAGTATAGGCAAAGAAAAAGATCTTTTAGTATAGTAAAATACTTAGTTGGGTAGTTTTGACATAAATATAAGTTTCCAAAATTGAACGTAAGCCAGAGTGCTTATATTTGAATTTATTTATGCTTTCAACTTCAAAAACAAATAAAAGTTATAAACCCCCAAATCCATTTGAAACCAGCTTTGTTATTTAAAAATTTCAAGCCCTTTATTCATTTTATTAAGCTTATCTATTGAAGATTAATGGAATCTTTAGAACTGAACTTTACAGTTAAGTGATTTTTCTCCATATTCACAAACCAGATTTATTGAATTCATTCATTAAAATTAAGCGACAAATGGAATGGATTATTCAACTATTCTTCATGTAAACAATTTTATTTTTTATTTTTCCTACACCTAACTATCCAACAAAAAACTATTTGCATTTTCATAATGTAGATGCTCTTTCTAAGAGCCCTTAAGATCACTATACTTTTGATTTCTTCAACATCTAGCTTTGCAAGACAAAAAAAATAACTGTAGACGCTCTAAAAGCCCTTAAGACAGCCTTTTGTTTTCAACACATTTTTAATGGCCTGAGGCCCACTGTGCAGATTGTATATCACATTGCAGAACTGTAGCCGTGGCTTAGAATGCCAACAGAACGAGTCTGACAATTTGTTCATATCGAACAACTGGCCCGTTTCATCAGAGGCCATAAAGTCAGGCAAGTTATTAAGACGGCATTGTCAATGCGTCGCGTCGCGTCGCGTCTCGTCGAGATGACTATGACTATGTTTTGTATTTAGTGTTAGCAATAGAAACGTTTGAGATACTTTTGTTTCCAAACTGACCCAGTTACTATACTACGAAGGCAGACAGGCCGACAGGCTGGTAGGCCGGTAGGCCGGTAGGCAGGCAGGCAAGCAGGCAAATCAAACGCATCAGAGAGTCGCTACTCAAAAATCGTTTAAAAATCGACAATAATCTCGCTTAACGGTAAATGCTTGTAAAGCCTATTCGAACGGGCTATCGACTGTAAATCGACTGCAATTTGCGGCTGCTACCGCAACCAAAAAGCTACACTTAAACATCAACTGATATTATGTAGCAGTGCAATCATTTTTCACCATCATTTCAAGATTTATCGGTCACGGTTTGGCATAAAACATTTACTATTACTATTGCGGTCTGCTCACTAGACGCTTGGCTGGCTGCTTTGCTGCTTTACTTGCTAATACAGTTTGCAGTTCGGGCCGCTTGTTTGGCTTAATTTGCAGTTTATGCGCCGCGCGTATGCCACAAGAAGTCGCAGTTGGCCAAGTTAAGACGTACAGAGAGCAGTGACAGCTGAATTGTCGGATTGGCCGTTGCCGGAGCTATTCATGAGACCATCTAGATAAATGTATTATGTATTAAACTTCGCTAATTGCTTGCTGCGCGATCCACAGTACTATACGTTTGTGCAATCGCTAATTTGTGGGAAATTGAAATTAAAGCTCAGCTTCAATAGTTGGGTTCGTCAGGGTTCTGACGATTTCACTCAAGATCGAGATCATAAGTGTGTTAGAAATATTAAATTTAATTTAAGTGAGCAGCCGCCTTTTTCACTTACTTATCGATCATAGAAATTGTGTAATAGCTTCCTCGGTATTTATTTCTTGTTATGTTCTGATATGTTGTTGTATTTTCCTGATGAACTTCTAGCTGCCAAAAATCGCAACAAAAGCTCCTCAACAAGCGCGCACTTGAGACAAAAGCAAACAAAGCCAGAAGCAAATGCAGACTAACTGACTGACAGCATCGCGAATGTGACGCCCATTCAACTCGCCATTAACTTTAATAATAATCAACAACAATAACAACAAAACATCACAAAGAAGAAAACTTAATTTAGCACGTTCAAAATGTTCAGTTCAAAATAAAAATAACAAACAATGAACAATCGACAAAAAGTAAAAAGAGACAGCAGCTTAATAAACAAAAAAATAAATGTATATAAAATATTGGGAAACATAATAAGTCTGGGAGGTATGATTGCAACATATTATAAAGATTTTAGTTAAGCAATAACAAATAACAAACAGCTTGTAATGTGCATGATGAGCGGTAGGCGGCACTTGGGCCTGCCTCAAGTTCATTAACAGAAAGCCAAAATGAATCTTCGGAGTACCTTGGACATGGCATGGATACTAGATGTGGCTCAGATCAACAAACAATTTCACCATCGCACATTCGAGCACTTATGTATATCACATTGGAAGACAAGTGCGCGTAATTATATGGTAAAAGCATCTTTCGGATACATTCACATTAACATTTGCTCTGCATTGAACTCTTTTTTTTAGATTTGTAATATTATGCAAAGCCCATGTGGGCTTGTAGCCGCCATCGTGCTGCTATTAATTAGCCCAGAAATACCTAAGTATGTACAGATGTAGATGGACGAGTAAGTGTGTGTACACTGAAAACAAAAAGCAACTAATCTGCACAAGGCAGTTCAAAAGCTGGAAATACATTTTTCATCTATTTCAAGTTTCTATCGTATATAGAAATGGCGAAGCGAACAATTAGACAGTTGGGCAACGGAGTATGTTTGATTTTGAAGAGTCTACCGTATATCGTATTTTGTACCACTTTGCAGTGTAAGAATTTGTTTTTCTGCAATCTATGTGTTCACCTGTTCTGCTCTTAAAAAATTGTTGCACTTCTGAAATTGCATCCACTAAATAGCCACTAAAAGTTTTGGATTTTGATTAGAAAATATTTTTCAATACTAGCTTTGCTATTACTGCTTGGTAGGAAATGGGTGAAGGCTATTGAAAAGGTATATTTTTCCATTTTGTAATATAAATTAGTTCAATTTTTAGGACCTTTTCAGTAATCTTCTACTGGGTCCAGCATTTAAATTTGTCTTATAATAGACGCTGTATTCCAACTTTGATTTAAAGCTCTACCTTTTTGGAATAAGTTACCAACTTTGCTGACGCTATAGTAACGGTCAGACAAGCAAAAAAAGTTGAATAGAAAGGAAAATCAGTTCATAAATAAGTCTGTTGCAGCAGAAAAGTATATTTTTATTTAAAATTTTCATTTTTTAATTGTATAGTACTTGTAAAATTTTGCAAATTTGTATGCTATTTATTTGCCTGTCTGCCCATAGCTTTGCATTGTTTTAAAGAGTTTTTTTCGCACTAAACAAATAAATGATTCCATAACATGTGAATAGGTTTCTCCGCTCTGATATGAAAAATAGATTCAATTTTTTGCCGTGTTTGTTCAACAAGTTCATTAGCCTCAATGTTGCTGCCGAATGTCCGCAAAAGTCTTGAACTTATTGGACTTACTATAAAACATACAATATTTATGTATGTACGTCTCAGCTATAAATCTTTATTTATTTATGTGGCAGCCACTCCATATGGCAATTGTTATTTCTAAATCGAGATTTTCTGTTCAATATTGATATCACTCCATGCCGCTTATATGGCAGCTCAACGACGCCTTTTGACAATTTGCAGCCCACACTCAAATTCGAATATTTTAATTAATTAGTAGCGCACAGTTTACAATCTTGACCAAAATGGTGACGAGCTAAATGAGCAAA